GACTCAGATCAAATATATCCTTTGCAAAACCCAGTGGTACAAGAAACAGAAACCTGCAGTTTGATTTTTGCAGCCATTTAGCTCTTCAGTACAAGTGGTCAGTGTGCCACTCGCCCATTACGTCCATTACACGTGGGATCTGCATAAGCAGGGACCCAGAAAGAAAGTATCTGAAAAGCCATCATTGTGCTGAGTGGGTTCGTGGGGCGGTGTTTGCACTGGAGCTGGAGCTGGAGCTGCTGTTTGCATGACACACTGTTTTCGTGTTCTGCTTTTCTGGCACAGTGGGGTGTGTTGAGCCAACAGACAGTGTGAATGGTGTCACTGCAAGTTCAAGCCGACACCTCGTTCACCCAATAAAATCTACTTGGACTTCAAATAGCCAAAACATGTTTTGGAAGCACTGCTGGTCTTGAGCACATACCTTTTTCCTTCTCCTGGGACATTTAGGCTTTTTGATTTAGACACCCTGACAAATATTTAAATGGTTCGAAAGAAAAGCAAGCTTTTAAAGAGGTATTTCTCTTTAGCTTCTCTTTTTGGGTACTGCGGGGCCCTATTCGCTGCCAGCTGTGGGCAGCCTCACCTCCTCCTCTGCCCAGGCTGTCCCCAGGTAGCACCAGCAAGGCCAAATACTGAAGCCAGTGCCATGTTTCACAGCTTCTCTGTCATTTTGGGGCAATGTACCCAGAAGCAGCTGGTCACCATGCGTGCCTGATGTTTGGGCTTATCCCGGTAGACCGGGTTGGAGGAGAGAGGTCCCTTCTGCAAAGTATGTGCTTAAAGCACAGGCTGGCCTCTCCTCCCTCCCCAGCCATAAGATCCTCCAAGGATACACCAGGAAAGAAACTGTTACAAAGGATTTGTGAGGGTGTCCCTCATAAGTATCTGAACTGCTTATGAGCTGTGGCTTGGCCAAGACAGGGTTTGTGTACTAAATCCTCTGAATTCACATTTCCATGCAAAGATTTGTGCAACAAGGCTGTTCCTGTCCTCTGATGGGCTATGTGGAAAGGGATTAAAATGCAATTTCTGTAACTAGTATAAATAATAGAATATGTTGTTCTAAGCCAAAAATATAGAGTGGGTTCTTTCCTAACTTTAAATTGTGATGGTTCATTTAAATTAATATAATCTGAATGTTACGAACTTTAGAAAGCCACAGAGGTAAGCAATAAATCTGCTCAGATCTGCATGCATGCATATTTCCAGACCCTGCCATTCTCCTAACCCTTTTGTTCTGTGCCCAGTTCAGTTTTGCGTCGTTTTTGAGTGTCGGTGAACTTCCACGGCCAGGCTGGGCAGCTGCCTCCAGCCCGGCACCAAGGAGCGTGCAATTAGCCGTGCTCCAGCAGGAGCCGGGTGCTGGGAGCCATGCACGAATGTAGCTCAGCAGCCACCTCCTCAGAGAGCTGCAAGAAAAAATAAACAACAACTGGGACTCATTTCACTTGAGAATTTTTTTTAACTACTTGCTTTTTCTTTTAAGGCGTCATGTGAGCAAATCTTGCTGGCACAGTTACAGCTGGAGGAGGTATTGCTGGTCTAATCACAATCTTAAGGTGTGGGTACGGCCTGGCTAATCAGAGCACCTCGTCACCTCACCGAACATGAAGTCATACTCACACTGCAAGACCTGTGGGATTTAGGAGGATTTAATCCCTGTTACGGATGAGAGCATTTTTGGCTGATGCAGTTTCACTAGACTTGAGCTGAAATGACTGCAAGACCCGGCGCTGCTGTGAAGCTGTGGCTCCGAGCGATGCCTCGACACCATTTTTTTACCTTAATATTCCTTGAAATGCAGCTGAAACTGGAAGAAGACCAACTGGACCGTGCATTCATACCACATGGGGAAAGTGTGCCGGGTCCCAGCAGCCAGCGCTGCCTCCTGGTCAGAGACACCCCACGAGCTTCACCCAGGGTGCACGGCCGTGCCGGCTCCCTGCTGCCCCAGTGGCACGGCCACTTTGCAGGCGGTAATGAAGTTACGCCGCTAATTCATGCATAGCACAAACAAGAAAAGGCCCAAATTCTCTCCAGTTCCCAAAAAGTCAAGTGAGAAGGCATTAAAAATGATATATTTTAAATCAAGCGGCATAGCTGGAGTTAAGGGGATACTAACCTAAACTGTAAATTACCAAAAAAAAAAAAAAAAAAAGCATGTGCATGGGTTCGCTAATGGCAGCGGTACAAAAAAAGGCAGTTTGCCCTCAGGGCTTCTGTCTCTGCTTTCTTTCTGTGCCTTATGTATTTGTGCTTTGAACTGTTGTGCACACCTGGACTTAGCAGGATGCTAATATTAGATGTCCAAATTATTGAGCACTATTAGAAGCACTTTATAAAGCTATAATTTTGTCAGTTCCTTAAATTGGGATTTTTGGGCTAGAGCTATAGTGATTTAACATCTTACATTTTTTTACCAGTTTTGGTTATCTCATAGCTGCTGCTTACAAGTGCAATGTTTGGGAGCTCTCTCTTGTTAACTGCAAACTTTCCAAATGTTAAAAAGGCAGTTTCTGTCTGACCTATTTTAATAGATCAATATTTTGACTTTTCTTGTTATTTTTCTTTAACTGATTTTCATCTATGGCACATACATGCGCTTTTCCCATACATATACTCTGTCCAGTGAGAGGGTGTGATAAATTCTGTAGTTTATTTTTTAATGGCAAAATTACTTCCAACTTTCTACTGGACTTTTTCTGAGGTGTTAATGTCGTCTTTTGGCATTTTCAGATATCACCGACTTTGACTTAAAACTCCTCTGACATGGTGGACTGCCTCTACACAGGAAACTTTGTGCTCACGCTGGCATTAAAGGCAAAGTGATGGAAAATGTGCTTGTAGAAAGTTGATGCTATTTAAGAAAAAGAGTTGTGTTACAGCGTGCACTTTGAGGATTATTTTTTTCCTTTTGTAACCTTCCCGACTATATTCTACTCATGATTAATGAGCTTTCCCAAAGTCAGCAGTGAAACTCAGAAAACCAAGCAGCAGCATTTAGTGTATTTGGAACACGTAGCAAGATAAATTACTCCATATAAAAGAATACACTTGTTATTTTTAAGGAAACACTTTCTAAGAAATTGACAGGAGCAGAAAAAGTTCAGCCAAAATATCTGAGGAATTTTAAGTAAGAGATTTCCGTGCTTTTTACTGTGGCGTGTGACCAATGGCTTCAGCCAATCTTTGTTACAGAAAGAGCAAAAAGCTAGCAAACGTGACATCCATGTTTATAAACAGCTCCTGGGGCATCCCTGGAGATACAGAGCACTCACGCATTTAACCTCAGGCTAGTATTAATCTCTTTCTTTCATCGCTTTTAAGGAAAATCTCAAAAAATATTTCCATCCTCATCTCCCCGCCCTGCGTTTTCACCACCCAAGTGTCTTCTCCTGTGCCTCAAGCTCCCTGTTTCCCACCCTCTTTCAATGTGAAGAGGGTGCTTTTGGGAGAGCACTAAATCAAGGGGGAGGCTGAGCTCCTTTCCTGCCCCACAGCCCACTTTGCTGGCCCCGGTGAGAGGAAAAGCCCAGCTCACACCAGCAGCTGGTATTTTGCCTTCTTGCCTGTAGATACAGCAGGTTACTCTTTTTAAAGGAAAGCTCATTTCCGCACAGTCAACAACAGCCTTGGTGTGGGGGAGAGATCCACAGGTTGCCAGGACATAGGTAAGAGCACGGGGGCTGCTATGGGGACTGAGGTTTGCTCTCCCAAATCCCCCGCAGCGCAGCGATGCAGCATGCCCAGGGGCAAGCTGGCTGCAGGTCATACCCTGCCCTGCGTTGCCACCCGAGGCCCCTGTGCCCCAGGCTCCCCCCAGTCCCCTGGGAGGTTGGGGAGGTGCTGGGGGTCCCACGGGAGGTGTGAGGCTGAGGGTTTTGGGGACCACCGCTTTGGAGCCTACCAGCCATAGCTGTTTGGGACATCCATGCTCAGAAACCTCCTTCTTCAGCAAACCTGAGCTGTTTTACTGCCATCCCAGGGGAGGATTTCAGGCAAGCGGCCAAACCACCTTGTTTGGGCTGTTTCTCGTTATCGCCTAGGGTGTAACAGGGGGCCGGTCTGGCCCCGCTCCCTGCACCGGACCCGGAGGGCTGCAGCCATGCGTGGCAATTTAGGGGTTGGTCTCCTGTCGGATCAGGCTTGCTGGGCAGCATCTACAGTCCCACCGCACGAAGGACAACATGAAAACGCATCCTTAGACAGCTGTGTTCCCTCTCTCTGGCCTAAGCAAGTCTTTTTTTAATTGGCCTACGGGTCCATTGACTAAGACAGACCAGCAAGGTCAGGTTAATAAACCAGACTTTTTCCTTTGTAACTCAAAACTTCTCACTCATTCATTTTATGCCCCAAATGACGTGTTATTTATTTATTTATTTATTTATCTCCCAGATAATAAGGTTGCCAGAACGGCAGTATAGCAAGGGTCAGTAATCATTTGTTGAAGTGGGTATCGTTCTTCGGCACAGGCAGAAGCCATTGTCACTGCTTCCTAGCCGCAGCACGTTACAAACCATGTGGCCCTGGGCTGTCGCAAGAGGCAGCACCCAAACCTTGTACGGTCTGAACACCGCGCGACAGAGGAGCGGCACCCAAACCTTGTACGGTCTGAACACAACACGACAGAGGAGCGGCACCCTCGGACAGGAAGCATCGCCAGCTTGGACAGAGGCTCTGAGGAGAAGATCCCGGGTACCGGAGGAGCCGCAAACAGGGCACACCAGCTTGGCACGGCCGGCTGGCAGTGCAGAGGAGAAAGGAGGACGTGGTGGAGGGCAAATACAGGGCGAGAAACACCTGGCCTTCGGTGCTGTCCCCTCCTTTGCAAAGGCACAAGAAGAAGTTGGTCTTCTGAAATATTTTTAAGAGCTATGGGGCTAACAGCAGACAGGGAAACCAACCCCACGGTGCCGCTGTTTTATGAGGGTGCTCTAGAAAAGCCATCGTCCCAACCCAGCGCTGATGAGACCACAGCAGGCCACACAGACCAGTACTCGAAAAACTAAAGCAGCATCTTTATTTTATACATAACCGTCAGTATAAAAAGTTTATTACATAAGAGCTGTTTTGTTTACAATATATTATATTGCTTCAAGCCGATGCAGAAAGTTCATACATTATAATTCTACTTTGTTTACAATATATTACGTTGGTTAAATGGCACCACTGCAGCGTATTTTTAATACACAGTACTTTGCAAAACCGTAAGGCCAAAAATAACATTGAATTGAGTTATTCAGTTTTTAAATTAAGCAACTTATTTGTTTTATTTATTTTTCTTAGGGAAAAGTCTAAATACACAATAGCAAAAATGTAAAATGCACCTTCCCTTTGTCGTAGGCAAATTAAATCTGTAGTCGTTGAAATGATTCGGGTTAGCATCTACAAGGTTTTCTGCTTGAATATTGTTACTTAATTTTTGGAAAATATTTGCCGCTATATAATCAAAAAAGGAAGTTTAAACATAACTGAAGTATAGTACAAAACACCATCCAAAGCACTGAAAGAAGAAGCCTATATAATCATGCTATAGAAGTATTTATAAAAGTTAAAAGGAATAGTAAATATCAGCTCAGTGGTTTATAATGAAGCTAATAAAATTCCAGCCGGTAATCTTAACTGTAATGAACAGCGTTTTAACATTCAATCCATGAGAGGTTAATGAAGGCTATGAACTTTGTGTAACACGAACCGTTTCAGATGTTGGAGTTCACCAGATATAATTGGATTCGGGTGGAACATGCCTCTCCTCGGCCTTTTTCAGCGAAGGCGTGTGCTGCCTCTGCTTGCTGCCTGCTGGCCTCAGGGCACTCAGACCGCTGGCTCCGTACCCTGGAAAATTATCCAAATCAAGAGAAAAAAACCCACAGAAGCGGGCTCGCGATCCGCTGCTAATATTTCAAGTGGAAACAGTCCCCCCACGTTTGAACAAAGGATTTGTGCTACGCCTTACGCAAGCGCTCGCCCCTCTCTGTGCCCCCCGGGACGGGCGAGGCGCTGCCAGACCGAAAGATGCTCTCGCCTCACCAGGGAGCCCAGGGGACCATCAGCACGCCCAGGCTGCCACTCAGCCCGGGGTTCACGCGTGCACAGCCCACGCCGGGTGGGTGAGCGTGGTGCCGGTCTGCCAGCCACAGGCTCTAAAGAGGGGCATAAGCATGGCCCCCTGGGGACAATCTGTGCCAGCTACCTGAGCTTCGCTTTGGTTTATGGCTGAGTGCAAAGAGAAAGAACAGCAGCAACAATAAACACCTAGGGGGGAAAAAAAAAGCAGTCCGAAACAGGCTTCGCGGAGCTGCTTTGTTGGGGAAAATGAACAATAAAAATGGAATTCAAAGTATTATGTTGTAATTACTTATCGTTTCATTTACCCTTCTCATTACTTAAAGCTCATGGAAATGACGCTGAAAAACTGAGTCCCAGGTTCAATTTTTTTTATCGACTTTTTAAGAACACAGCTTTACCAAGGAGCCATTGATTTGATGGAGTATGAAGCAAGTCTCTCAAATTAACTATAAATCTCCTCTCAAGATCCAGAGATGTTTGGGTTTAGTTGAAAAGAGTGAATTGCAGTGCATGCAGACTTCTATGTGCTATTTAAGCCCTACATGGGCCCTTTAAATGGGGGTGAATTTTACCCAAATGACCTATTCTCAGTTTCTTTGCTGAATACAAAGAGAGTTTTGCAGTGCTAAACACAGCAGAACTGTACCCAAACTCCAAGTAATTAAGGATGGAAAACCGTGGAGCTGACAATAATGTGTGCCTACTGACTCCTCATAATACCGTAATTACGAGTTTTGGTTTGCTGTACAGGTAATTACTTCTTTGGGGATGGTCATCCATAGTACATAATTTTTTTCACTTGCTATCCGAGTTCTTTGTAAGAAGAGTATTACAAGAAGAAAAAGTTCATACTGAGCTTATGAAGTTCATATCGATTTCCATTTTTTTCTAACCATAACTTATATTAATGGTATTTCTCCATTGAGAATGGAGAATGGGAATGAGAGAAATACTTGAACACAGGTTCACTAGCTAACAGCAGAAAAATGGACTCCCCAAACCTAATTTTCACAGCATAATCCATTTTAGTTAGATAATACGCATTTTTAATGAAACAACTATATTTATTCTAATATATTTTAATACGATACAAATCACAGGCATCAACAGCATTTAATAAAAATGAACATTCAGTTGATGCTGCAGTGTAAGGTTCACATTTCTTATGGCTAATTGGTGGGTTTTATAGCTGCAAATTTTTTCAACTGTTTTATCATTGCCACTTAAAACTTTAAATGTGAATCGTTAGCTAACAATGTTTAAACTAAACATTAATACCTCAAAGGAGAATGTACAGAATGTCTCTTGAAGCTCTACTGTCACAGCACTATTGCACATTAAATATAAAATTAAATCTTAAGTTGTTACTGGATATATCCAGTTGTATTTCAAATCATTTTATAGTGCTATTTTAAATTCAGTGAAATGATCAGTTGCCTCACTGGGTGTCAAATGGGTCAATAAACACAACAGAAATTCATTTTAAGGACTTTAACTTTGCTTTGGGACAATATCTTTTGTGGTCTGCGGAGCATGGGTGGAGAAGAGGAGGAGAAATCCTGAAAGTCGGTAAGCATAGATCTTGCATAACCCTTCAAGTTTTCCCTGAAGTTTCTGAAGGACATTTCGTTTTTTCTAAGTTTTAATCAGCTTTAAAACCTGACAGAGTTGTATTTCTAAAAATGCCTACCCAACATTTTAAAGCCAGCTGACATTACTGAGGAGTACTGAAGGACTTTAGATCCCTTCCATACAATGGGTGGAAGACACGTGAGGTCTTCTAGAAATCTGGCTGATACCAGATTCTGGAATTTCTAATACTAGGGTGATCTTGGTAAAACACTTTTAAACGATTCTGAGGGTTTTTTAAGTAATTAAAATTATGAACTATCGAAAATCCTCAGTTTACTGTTTGGATTAAAGATTAGAAAAAATGGAGTGCGGTATCATTAATGAGGCTGGAAAGGCTCTTGAAGCAATCATTTCTACATAGCATCGAATGCATTAGATGCCCCGATACAGAATCTCGGGGTTGGTTTCTCACTTACTTTTATTGCAGTGTCTCCCATGCCAGCCTTCTTTGCACTGGCATTTGTTGGGCTCAGCACAGGTGCCGTACAGGCCACAGCCGGGTTCGCAGACAGCTGTAAGAAAGCGAGCGCATACGCCTGACCTCTTGACGTTTCATCCAGAGTTGCGTATTTGCTTTCCCTGCTCTTGCTCCTCGTGATGCGTTGGTCCTGGCACAGGCTGGGGCTCTCACTGTAAATCAGTGACTTTGCACTCGGTGTGTGTGGAGCCCCAAAATATTTCACCCCCCATTCCCCTGCAAGGTCTGGCTCAGTCTCCGGCAGAGAGAAGCAGATGGAACAGCAGAGCTGAGCGTACACCAGAACCAGCGGGAGAGGAGGGTAGCCCCCAGCATCCCTCTCACAAAATGCTCCCGTTGGATTTTAATGTTGCAATGTATTGACGTTTTATTAAGCATTTCTCTGTTACTAAACTGCTCTTAGTAAGCTGACACATTGCTGTTTTATGGAAACTCAGAGTACAGAAGAAACTGTGGGGAGGCTTTTATAAAAAACGTTTCTGGTTTCATAGTTCCCTTAAGTCTGGTGTACGCCGTATGTCCAGGAAGTAAATTAACCTAAAATACTTTATCAACAATTAGTGCTAACATTGTGTAAAAAGATACTGTACAGCCAGTTTGATGCTCCTACAACAAGAACTGATGGAGTGGCTTTGGTACTCACGCTTTGAACACAGGTCTCCCTGGTAGCCTTTGGAGCACTTGCATTTATTCTTACCAGTACATTTGCCTCCATTTCGACAGGGCTGATGGCATTTACCTAGAAATCGATAGCACAAAAACAATGGTCTTAGTCCCCTGCACCTACTGGAGATAAGTGTCTGAGAAGCCTGTCTTGTACCCGAAAAACTCACTGGATGCTGGCGTAGGAGTGTGCACTGTGGATCTGTCAGGAAGACTCTGCTGCAAGTCTGTCCTTCCAATTTATATGCTTTGAAAATACGGCAATAAATTGGCCAAAGCCCATGTGTCCATGCAGCTTTTGCCCAGACTTGTGCCACCTGGACTTCGTAGAGTGCCCCGTGCCACCGGTCAGTATTGCCTCCTGCTCTCCTCACCCTTCATGGGGGAGGAAGCTCTGTCCAGACTTTGTGTTTGCAAAGAGCGGGATCCATACCCAGGGGGTACAAGCAAAAGAAAATCTGCTGGTGCCCGAGAGGGATTTTAAGCACTAGGGAAGCTCAGGAACTGACAGGTTTGGCCGCTACTTGCAGACACTAAATAGATTGGCTGGGCCTGTCAGCTTGTGGCTGTGGAGCACCACAGTGCTGTGGATGGTGCAACGAGGACTGTTCCATACCACAGCTCGGAAACTAAAGGCGCGTTAAAAAAGCATGCCCTTCTTTCCTGTTTGCAAAGAACAGAGCATCTCTTCTCCCAAGTAGTTAGTGATAGGACAAGAGGAAATGGGCTTAAGCTGTGCCAGGGGAGGTTTAGGTTGGATATTAGGAAAAATTTCTTTACGGAAAGGGTGGTCAAGCATTGGAAGAGGCTGCCCAGAGAGGTGGTGGAGTCACCATCCCTGGAAGTGTTCAAAAAACGGGTAGATGTGGCACTTGGGGACATGGTTTAGTCTAGTCTACCCTTGATTGGCTTAGAGTAGACTTGGTAGTGTAGGTTAATGGTTGGACTGGATGATCTTAAAGGTCTTTTCCAACCTAAACGATTCTATGATTCTATCTTTGGGAACAGTAATTAGAACTGGCAGACCTTTTTCAAGGCTTTTAGTCCAGAAATTACCTTCCCTCGCGTTCAACACTTTGCCAGGGGAAGAGGCTGGGTCTGACAGCGCTGTCTGGCCCTGACTCGCCTGGGAGGGAGGAGGTCCACGTTGGTGGAGGAGATCCACGCTCAGGTTCCTACCGGGCCTGACTCGCACCAAGGGACTTCCTCAAACTTAACAACAAGTCTCCCATCACCCTAGTGTCAGTCCCTTGTCAGAATTTCTCTGCATTATTGAACTAATTGAATCTTCACTCGTCTCTAGGAAGGGTGAGCGCAGCGCCCACGAGCCAGGTCACCCCCAGGCTGAGGGAGGCTCACTGCCACGTCCCTGGGCACTCTCGGGCCATCAGGAGCAACACCCCCAGCTTCTTGCCTCCTTGGTGGCCATATGCACCAGTGCAGCTTTTCTCACTGTCGTACAAAACCTGTTTTAATCTTTTCTAATCCCACAACATTTTCTGGATTCTTCAGAAAAGAGAAAAAAAAACCCTTCCTAGATTTAGCACTAATATTTACCTGAATCTGTGAGCAAACAAAAACTGGAACTTGGGGCAGCAAACTG